TAAGAAAAAAAAATTATCTTAACTAAATACATTTTCTTTAATTTATAATTGAAAAATACAAAAGAATTCCCTAGAAGAAGAAGGGAAAGAGACGCTGCGGTAACCTGGTTTCGGGTGAACCTGCTAGCTTGTTCCCGAAGGAGTGAGGCAAGCGACGAGAATTTTCAGTTATTAATCTACACCTTCCTCTTGCTGTGTTCTCTCTAGCCGCCAATTGAATGTGGCCGCGGGTGCAAGTAGAGGTCTATGGGGCTACCATTGACTGGGACTTGGAGCCCCCTGAACTCATAGAGGAGGATCTGGTCGAGCTCACGATCCCCGGGCGCAACATTCGACACGTTGACGGCCAGTTTGCGTGGAGGTCCATAATCTTGTCCGATGACGTGTGGCTTTGGACGTACAGAGAGCACTGGCCGGGGCAAGGAGTGGGMGTAGTGAGAGCCTACTTGTATTTGGGACAAGGTGCGGTCAGGGAGGCCGTGGTGGGCCTCGCGACGACAGGGACGAGTGGCACAGTTAGCAGGGCATTACGCTACCCAGGGGAAGAGATAGCTGCCTTCTGAGCGGAGGACTCGAGCGACCCGTTGACCCTATTTCACGGACGCCCTCCTCTTGATATCACAGGCGAGCTTGTGGTAGCATGGGACGGGTTTTTCCCGTACAGCGTTAGGAGCCTGCGGGCGATAGTTCCGACGTTCGTAGTAGAGAGCGTCTTTGGAGGTATTGGTGGAGTGGTCGAGACATACCTGGCCTATCAGGATCTCAAGATCCTGGTGAGAAGGCTTGCCGACCTAGACTACATCCATTATTCGCTCGCAACCGGTGGGCCTCCTTGGGGAGACGAGAGGGTTCAACTTATAGAGCTGATCCGCTCGATAGACGACGAGTGGCCCTAGTCTCCGTGCGTTTGGGATTGGCTAGACCGTGAGCTCCGAGCAGGCCCCGAGTACGTGACCTGCATCGGGCAGCTCTTCTCAGACGACTGGGAGAGCTGGTGGGGTGAGGACGCCGGGCGACCTCTGATATAYGGCCATCAGTTGGCRSAATACTAYCAGGGTATAGGACAGRCGCCATACCGCGTCGAGGACGAGTTTGACGAYGAKGGTTGGGAGCGAGAGGACGACGAGGACGCCTGGGAGCCAGACTGGGTCGACCCAGAGAGTGAGGTTGACGAGGAGGAGATTGACGTTATAGACGCTCATTTTCCCAGGATAGGAGTAGCAGTCCGGGCGTAGGAGGTAGAGGAGCACACTAGGGCGACGGTTGAGTGAGCTTAGCTACTGATCCTACTCRACCATACTGGACCTGAGTGCGAGAGTTGTCTGAAGGGTTAGCAACGTCGAGAGATGGGGTGCATCGGAGGGAGTAGAGTGATGCTGACCGAGAGTAGGAGAAGAGATGAGGAGTGATTCAGTGGCCTGGTTAGCTTATGTTCTCTCACGAGAGTCCGAATCGTATAGTGTGAGGAAGCTTGTGAGACCCAGAGAGACGGCGGTTGGATACGACATACCACTTCTTGTGGCGTTAGAAGAGGCAGGGCGTGTACCGATACGATACTTGGGAACGTGGCTCGCAGAGGGGCTCTTCCTTTGGACAGTGATACTACGAGACGAACGACCCCAGAGGACTCATGATCTAGAAGGGGTCGGGCATCTGATAGCAGATAGAGCACACGACTTAGAGATAGGACTAACACTCGCAGGGGCGAGCAGGAGTTGGTGGAGAAGCGAGTCATTGGCCAGAGTGATCGTTAATCAGCAATTGGCGAGACTCTCTGGAGGGAGGACGAGTTGGAGCTGCTTGGTATACGGTCCACCACATCCGACCCTCTACCCGAGAAAGGATTGGCGATTCGGACTTCCTACCTTCGTGATAGGGCAGACCTATGGGAGCGTGGATCGTTTGAGTAGAGCAGTGGACCACACTTTACTCGCTCTGGGAGGGCTTAGCGCCCCGCTTCAAGGAAGTATACTACGCCATTTGTGTGAGGTGGGGGCCGCCCAGTAGAGAGATACTTGACCACATCATAGACGTTACTAGCGGGGTGGACCGTCTGAGGCCAATTGATCTAATTAGGTACTGCAGGAGACGGGCAGAGATCGATTACTTGGGGCTAGAGGATGTGAGATTTCTCTTCGAGGCCGCAGCTTAGGGAATGCCGGGAAGGACGGCCACGGTGATGCGTGCAGGAGAGCAACTGGTAAGCGCAGGATACACTGTGACAGTACTTCTCCGAGCGTACGTAGACGAGGACTTGACAGCGAGTGAGTGCAGACAACGAGCTAGGGATTTGATCTACGAGTGTAGAGCTGATGTAATGGCGCGAGTGACCTTCCAGACCTCGATTTCCTATGATGTGATGATATGGTCTCATGGTTATATGCGCGCGGAGCACTACCACGATGAGACGGTAGTGGAGGCTAGAGCGAGGGTGGGAGGGTGAGCTAGAAAAAGATGTGGACTGAGTATGGAAGAGGAGAGTGAGGCAGTCGGAAGAGTGAGAAAGCGCGTTAAAGAACCAC